AGGTTTGTGTGCAAGGTCCTCTGAAAATTCTACAAGTGTTTGAAAACCGATAGTCTCTATGGTCTTCCCTGTGCGGTGGAGTAGGTAAGACCATAGAGACTAACTGTCAGTTTTCAAACACTATCTGACCTAAGGTCCATGTATATGGCTGCAGGATTCTATCATACACTAAAGGTTGGACTATGTTTTTTACCTTTTTTTTACATATACTTAATTTAAAAATATAGATTTTCTTTTAGAACTGGTTTATTTTGAAAAATAAAGGAGGAGGTTAAATATCCCCTTAGCTTTTGCAAATCTCTGTAATTATAAGTAACTGTATAATGGAACAGAGTGACATGGGACCTCCTTGCATTACGGCCTATGCAATAATACACGTCAAGGCTTTATGTCACTAAGGTCTGCAGATTTTATATTGAACTGTTCTCTTATTATATATGTGACAAAAATTTGAAATATATGTGAAGCTCCCGCACTTGTAATGCCAGTTCATCCTTGTTTATATTTTCAATAAAAAAAAAAAAATTTAAAGGAAAAACAAAAAACAAATTAAATATTACACTCAGCATATATAATATAGATAATATATGAAAGGGTTTTTCAGATTTGTATACCATTAATTTGTGTAGTACAAACTTGTATTAATTGGCTTCCTATCATGGTCAAATACAAGAATGTGCTTGGGACCAAAATTACCATGTAAAAATATTACTTTTCTTATTATTTCTAAGACGACCTAATGGAATTGGAGATGTTGGAGCTATGGTGCTGAATATAGTAAACAAACAGTTTAACTAGCGAAAGTAAAGGAAAATGTTTCAGGACTTGAAGGTGAAATATATTGAATGCCATGCTGTGCCTTGTCAGCTCAACAAGAATATAATTATTCCCTTTAGCATATAAAGTATCTATGTAAAATATAAATATATTCTTTAAGTTGAAATAAAAACATCACAAATAGTTTGATGAAATAAAATGTAATATATTGCTAGTGCTCTCCAGGGCAGAGTAAAAACTACTTAAAGAACTGGTACACATGAAAGCCTTTATTTTTATGTTTATGTTTTTAAGATGCAATATATCCAAAGCTGTGTTTCTCTTTCCTCAGATTATAAATACACACATTAAGTTTTACTGCTGTTACACTGCGAGATTTAAAGGAACACTATAGCGTTAGGAACACAAACCTGTATTCCTAATGCTGCAGTGTCCTTGCCATGAAGTGATTGTCTCTCACCCACCTCCCGGTGTTGGAATGGTTAAAAAAAAACTTTAACACTTGCCTCTTTCCAGTGCTGAGGTCCCTTGGCGCTCGGGGGTACCTGATGCTCATGTGCGGCGAGGGCCACAGACAAATTTGGCCTTCCCCATAGGAAAGCATTGATAAACTCTGTGAAACTGCAAGATACGCCTCTAGTGGCTGTCTGCTAGACAGCCACTAGAAGCAGTCTTAACCCTGCAATGTAATCATTGCAGTCTCTCTGAAATTGCAATGTTTTACATTGCAGGGCTTAGGGAACAGGCACACTGTACTCAGATCATTCCAATGAAATTAAGTGATCTGGATGCCTATAGTGTCCCTGTAAGAAGGCCAAATGCAGGATTAATCAAAAGGTAGATACAGGGAGTGCAGAATTATTAGGCAAATTAGTATTTTGACCACATCATCCTCTTTATGCATGTTGTCTTACTCCAAGCTGTATAGGCTCGAAAGCCTACTACCAATTAAGCATATTAGGTGATGTGCATCTCTGTAATGAGAAGGGGTGTGGTCTAATGACATCAACACCCTATATCAGGTGTGCATAATTATTAGGCAACTTCCTTTCCTTTGGCAAAATGGGTCAAAAGAAGGACTTGACAGGCTCTGAAAAGTCAAAAATAGTGAGATATCTTGCAGAGGGATGCAGCACTCTTAAAATTGCAAAGCTTCTGAAGCATGATCATCGAACAATCAAGCGTTTCATTCAAAATAGTCAACAGGGTCGCAAGAAGCGTGTGGAAAAACCAAGGCGCAAAATAACTGCCCATGAACTGAGAAAAGTCAAGCGTGCAGCTGCCACGATGCCACTTGCCACCAGTTTGGCCATATTTCAGAGCTGCAACATCACTGGAGTGCCCAAAAGCACAAGGTGTGCAATACTCAGAGACATGGCCAAGGTAAGAAAGGCTGAAAGACGACCACCACTGAACAAGACACACAAGCTGAAACGTCAAGACTGGGCCAAGAAATATCTCAAGACTGATTTTTCTAAGGTTTTATGGACTGATGAAATGAGAGTGAGTCTTGATGGGCCAGATGGATGGGCCCGTGGCTGGATTGGTAAAGGGCAGAGAGCTCCAGTCCGACTCAGACGCCAGCAAGGTGGAGGTGGAGTACTGGTTTGGGCTGGTATCATCAAAGATGAGCTTGTGGGGCCTTTTCGGGTTGATGATGGAGTCAAGCTCAACTCCCAGTCCTACTGCCAGTTCCTGGAAGACACCTTCTTCAAGCAGTGGTACAGGAAGAAGTCTGCATCCTTCAAGAAAAACATGATTTTCATGCAGGACAATGCTCCATCACACGCGTCCAAGTACTCCACAGCGTGGCTGGCAAGAAAGGGTATAAAAGAAGAAAATCTAATGACATGGCCTCCTTGTTCACCTGATCTGAACCCCATTGAGAACCTGTGGTCTATCATCAAATGTGAGATTTACAAGGAGGGAAAACAGTACACCTCTCTGAACAGTGTCTGGGAGGCTGTGGTTGCTGCTGCACGCAATGTTGATGGTGAACAGATCAAAACACTGACAGAATCCATGGATGGCAGGCTTTTGAGTGTCCTTGCAAAGAAAGGTGGCTATATTGGTCACTGATTTGTTTTTGTTTTGTTTTTGAATGTCAGAAATGTATATTTGTGAATGTTGAGATGTTATATTGGTTTCACTTGTAATAATAAATAATTGAAATGGGTATATATTTGTTTTTTGTTAAGTTGCCTAATAATTATGCACAGTAATAGTCACCTGCACACACAGATATCCCCCTAACATAGCTAAAACTAAAAACAAACTAAAAACTACTTCCAAAAATATTCAGCTTTGATATTTATGAGTTTTTTGGGTTCATTGAGAACATGGTTGTTGTTCAATAATAAAATTAATCCTCAAAAATACAACTTGCCTAATAATTCTGCACTCCCTGTATAACAACTGTCAAAGTAGACTAAATCTAGCTGAAATGGCTTCACGTTACTCAGGGGTTATCTCCACTTTCAGCTACTACACAATCAGTCTGCTTTGGAGTATATGGACGGAGTAATATCGGGATTGCCATTACGGTCTTCACTCAGCAGCCCTGGGCCAACAAAGTCACATGGCGCAACCAATATGGCCGCCGTACAGGAATTTACAAAGGGTCAGTTAAGCCTAAAGAGCCAGTAGTGGAAGAAGGCCATTGACGTAAAGTTTGATGCTCTCTGCCAAGCATTTTGGAACCATATCGCTTGCCGAGCCCAAGTGCTCATCCCTCTGGCTGTACAACTATCCTATGCTACAGGCTCATTCACCCATTCGTCTTCCGGGCCGGGGGCCCAATTAGAGATATCTCCAAGCCACAGTCCATGTACGCAAGGTAGATTCCAAAACTGGGAGGACTTGTGGGCCCAAGGTCCAGCCACAGAGTTTAGGAGGATCTATGGACTTATGGGAGTGGCTCCCATCGAGGACTGGGGCTGAGGTTACAGGAACCTGAAACTACGGGCTCTACAACTCACTCATCAGCCGAGACTTCAAGAGAGTTTAGCCCTTTTGATAACTATACAAGGAAGCACTGAATCTGGTGAATAACTCTGCTTGCGATACGAAAAGCACCAGGAGCTCCAACACTGCTCAACAAGTTTTGAGGCGGCGAAACTGGGAATTACTTACTGACAGGGAACTGGACTTTCTGCCATGGCCCACCCGTGGCATTGGGTGAGCGAACCTGTTGCTCGGTACCGAACTGCCTTTTTAGCTTCTGAGTGCCATTGGCTAAATGTCCTAGATGGTATTCTCACCAACTCATGCATAATTCCATTTTTTAAGTACTGGTGAGATGCATGTATATATTTTTTTTGTTCTATCTATATTTGAATTCTCGGGTTTATTCTCGTATCCACATGTCTACCAATTTTTGTTCCTTTATAAGCATTCAATAACAGTTTGACCTAGACATGTGTGTTAAGCCCGTTATGGAGCACCTATTATTTTTTCTCATTTTAAAAACAGAGATGGCTCTATAAGCCAGAAATGCCAATAACCCAAATTGCATAACGTATCAATGTACAGAACTGCACAATTCTGGTGTTTCATTATCTTTTACGAATTTCATTTAAACATCTCAATAAAACATAGATTGACACAACAAAAACACTGTTAGAGTACAACTCTTCTTATCCTTTGCCAACCTTAACATGTGTGTGTACGTTGTATCTAGTTTATAGGATCTCAGAGCAGGATTCATTAGTTTGTGATGTTGTGGATCAAAACAAAGGTTTGATTATTTGAAAAATCTGCCCCTGTCCAAATTATTAAGTGTATACGTGCACGCTCCTGAAGTAATTCACACCAGACACAAGTTTCAGGTTAATGAAGAACTTGAGGAATGTTTAATCGGGTGGGGGGGCCGGCATTCCCCTTATAAAGAGAGAATACATCATATGCATAATTATAGATAACAATTGGTTAGGTGTTAAGTGGTTCATCTATTGTACATCCTACAGGGTGTGATGTCACTGTTATCATGAAATGCTTCTCCAGATTCCAGCACCATCATGGTACATGCGGTGGTTAGTCGATTGGAGGGGGGGAGTTTCAGCCTGAATAGTTAATGAACAGGAGGGGAGGGGCTGTTAGGGGGAGCTTCTAGCAGCCTTTCTGAGCAGTTTAATGAACACAGGAGGGGAGGGGCTGTTCTAGCAGCCAGGTTAACACAGTAAACATTGAATAATACTGAGTACAGTTATGCAGAGTAAATAGGCATTTTAGTAAGCTAATATTATGTCCATAACAGTGAGTGAGTATATGGATTAAAGGGATAAGAGCCGGTGAGTGGAGTGCAGAAGTAGAATGGTAACAAGTTCAAAATGAGCAGGCACTAATGTACACGTCATAGAATACTGCCCTGAGTGATGTAGACCTACTTACTGTGCTTTATGTTCACTACCAAAATATGCTCCAAAGTGTTATAAACATGGTTATCTGGGGCCCCTTAAAGCTCAAAATGTGCATGCGAACATTAGATCATTAAGGACTGCTCCAGCTGCCTAATTCTTCAGTCACTGCCTGTAAAGTATAACGTATGGAGAGTCACAGAGAACCAAGAATACCACATGAAGGTGCCTTACATCAGGGTTGTTAAAAAAGGAGCACCCCAGAAGTTGTAGAAGTACAACTCCCATGATGCTGTGCATGCATTTCGAGTGCTTTTAGAATGACAAAGCATCATGCAAGCTGTAGTTTTAAAACATCTGAGGATCTACCTTTTGAGCACACCTGCCTAAAATTCTCTAAGCTGGCAGGACCAATAATAAAAAAACAACAAAAAGAATGGGCCAATCAGGGGAAAAACTACATATTTCAATTGGAACTAGGAATGGCTAGTGATCCATTGAGTAAACCCAGCTACACTCTAATCCATTAAGTAAACCCAGCTAGAGGCCATCTTGAAATTACTAATGCAGAAAAATGACCGGACACACAGGGTCAGTTTACAACTATCATCAGAGATAACTGAGACTCGCAATGCACCGCCTGTAATTAGAACATGGGTATGCTATCTGTACGTCTGCAAAATATAACTCATGTCATGTATTAAGTCTTGATAGATCAATAGCTTGTTACAGATGGTGTGTACTGACCCCTCTCTGGTATAAACATTGATCATTTCAACAGCACTTTAAAGGGACACTATAGTCACCAGAACAACTACAGCTTATTGCATTTGTCCTGGTGAATAGAATCATTACCCAGTGGCGTTCTAAGGGGTGGGCAGGGGGAGCGGTCCTCCCCGGGTGCCATCAGGCAGGGTGGTGCCACTAGGGCTGGCCAGGCTTGCTATTCTGTGAGCTGTGTGGCTGCACCGGGCACTATAGCAGCAGGGGCGCCGGGCAGCCGACACAGTTCAGGGACTGGGAGCAAGCAGGAAACCTGGCTCAGCTGGCAGCACAGAGAGTTGGGGGCAGAGCTAGAATGGATGTGGGGGCGGAGCCAGTCTGTATGCGGGGGCAGAGATAAATGCAGCCTCTCTGATCACACAGAGGGAAGGCAGGAAGTAGTTCCTGCTTCCCCAACTACAGCACAGGAGCCAGAGGGACTGAATCCACTCCTCCTCCAGCCCAAGCTTACTGTAAGTGAGAGAGAGAGAGTGTGTGCTGTGTGTAACAGTGGCGGATCCAGGGAGGGGGGCAACGGGGCAATTGCCCCCCCCCGAGATTCTCCCCTGCCGGCTAATGCAGGGCTGGCATTGTCCAAGTGCCAGCCCTGCAATGTGCCTGCGGACTGGGGAGGGAGATCAGAGATCACAGATCTCCCTCCTTGGTCCACAGGCACCGTGCTGGCAGCCGGCAGGGAGGGAGGGAGAGGGAGGAGAGAGGACCCGGGAGCTCTGCCTGCAGCTCCTCTGGGTCCTCCTCTCGCAAGCATGGAGCGTTGCCGTGGTTACCACGGCAACGCTCCAAATCTCGCAACAGTGAACTCTAGCCCTTAAGCGCGGGCTAGAGTTCACCTCACCTCCACTGGGACCACCAGGGATTCACCACGGACCACCACGGATTCAGAAATGTCCCCCCTCCTCCCAGTAAAGGTAAGAATGGAGGGGGGACATAAAGTATATTTATTTTAATAAAATTTTAAAAATATTTAAAAGCCTTCCCACCCTCCTTCCCCCCCATACACACACTACACACACTGCCCCCCATACACACACTACACACAATGCCCGCCATACACTCACTGCCCGCCATACACACACTGCCACCCATACACTGCCCCCCATACACACACTACACACACTGCCCCACAAACACTGCCCCCATACACACACTACACACACCCCCCCATACACACTACACACACTGCCCCATAACACACTGTCCCCATACACACTCTACACACACTGCCCCACAAACACTGCACTAACACTGCCACCTACTACACACTGCCCCACAAACACTGCCCCCCCCTCACACTACACACACTGCCCCCATACACACTACACACACTGCACACCATACACACACACTACCCCATAAACACACTGCCCCCCATACACACTCTGCCCCTACACACACTACACACACTGCCCCCCCATACACACACATACACACACTGCCCCCATACACACTCTGCCCCCCATACACACACTGCCCCATTCACACACTGACCCCCATTCACACACTGCACCACTCACACACACACACACACTGCAGCTCTCACACACACACTGCCCCACACATACACTGCCCCCTAACACACACACTGCAACCCTGACATACACTGCTGCACTCACGCACTCACACACACATTTCACCACTCACACACACACACACTGCACCTTTCACACACACTTCACCCCTAACACATACCACTGCTCCTATGCCCTATATCCCAGCAGACCCCAGGTAAGTTGTCAAACTGTTCTTAAACGGTTTGACTACTTACTCTGGGATGGGATCCTGGCACTACGGGCGCCATAACTACTACACTGAGCTGTAGTGGTTATTGTGCCTGGATTATTTCTTTAAATAATCTACAAGTGCCCCCCGCCCCCCGAGATCAGGCTCTGGATCCACCACTGGTGTGTAACTGTGATTGTGACTGTGTTTGACTGTGTGTGTGAGTGTGTGACTGTCTGCCTGTGATTGTCTGTGTGACTCTGTGTGTGTGTGTGTGACTGTCTGTCTGTGACTGTGTGTGTGTGTGTGTTACTGTCTGTCTGTGACTGTGCGTGTGTGTGTGACTGTGTGTGACTGTGTGTGTGTGTGACTGTCTGTGACTGTGTGTGTTTGTGACTGTCTGTCTGTGACTGTGTGTGTGTGTGTGACTGTCTGTCTTTGACTATGTGTGTGAGTGTGTGACTATCTGTGACTGTGTGAGTGACTGTCTGCCTGTGATTGTCTGTGTGACTGTGTGTGTGTGTGACTGTCTGTCTGTGACTGTGTGTGTGTGTGTGTTTGACTGTCTGTCTGTGACTGTGTGTTTGTGTGTGTGACTGTCTGTGACTGTGTGTGACTGTCTGTCTTTGAATGTGTGTGTGAGGTGTGTGACTATGTGTGACTGTGTGAGTGACTGTCTGCCTGTGATTGTCTGTGTGACTCTGTGTGTGTGTGTGTGTGTGACTGTCTGTCTGTGACTGTATGTGTGACTGTCTGCCTGTGACTGTGTGTGGGACTGTGTGCATCTGACTGTGTCTGACGGTCTTCGCCCTGCAGTGAGACGGCAGCCGGGATATGCTGTCATCGTGGCCTCTGCGTCATTACAGCGCGTGCGAGGGAACTGTACAGGAAGAGCACAGAGATCCCAGCAGCAACCACTGACCACCAGGGACTGAGGATCCACTCCAGCCCTTCTAGAGCAAGGTAGGGAGGCTGGGTGCACCTTTTATTTATTAAATGTGTGTATGTATGTAATGTTTGTGTGTATGTGATTGTGTGTCTGTGATTGTATGTGTGTGGGTCTGTGATTGTGTTTGTGTATATCTGTGACTAAGGGATTTATCTACTAAACAACTGAAAATAAGAAAAGGCCTTTTTTTTATTTTAATCCTTTAGCTGTTTAGTAGATAATTCCCTGAATTGGTGACCATATGCGGGATTTCCATATTTAAAGATACCAAATGAGGGTGCTGTTTAGCAGATAGTTCTCTTATTTGGTGTCCTTAAATATTGCAAGCCCACAATAGGATAGCAAATAGGGGAGTTATCTGCTAAACAAAAATCAAAGTGAAGAGGTGTCAGCCAGCCCACAACAAGAAATCTGGGTGGCTAATGTGAATTATATGCAAATATTTTGTGAGATGCCAGCATGCAGAGCACAGTGTTTCTGTGTGTGTGTATATGTATCTGCATGTGTGTATGTCCGTGTATGTGTATATGTGCAGACATCTCAAAATCTCGCCAACACTACACACAAATACACTCATGCATTTCAACGTCAACACTACATACAAACCCCACCATTATATATAACCACTTCACTACATTCAAATACCACACAACACACAAATGCATGCTTGCATTCAAAAACCAACACTACATACAAACACACCACTACATTCACTCACACATACTCCATACAAAACATGCATACATTCACACACAAACACTGCTCAGTGCTAAATACATTAAAAACATTTCTGGTTGTTTTTTACATTTAAAGTTGGGGGGGTGGGGGGGGCAGGTGCCAAAAATAGGATCCGCCCCGGGTGCCAAATGCTCTAGGTACGCCCCTGTCATTACCTTCAGGCTTATTGCTGTAAACACTGTCTTTTCAGAGAAAATGCAGTGTTTACAATACCGCCAAGTGATAACTTCACTGGCCACTACTCAGATGGCTGCTAGAGCTGCCTCCTATCTCAGTCTTGCCTAGTGTGCATCACAACATATCAGTATCTCCTCCCTCTGCATTCAGACACTGAACTTTCCTCATGGAGATTCATTGATTTAGTTTATCAATATGAGGAGATGCTGATTGGCCCGGGCTGTGTTTGACTTGTGCTGGCTCTGCCCCTGATCTGCCTCCTTCACAATCTCAGTCAATCCTATGGGGAAGCATTGTGACTGGCTCAGAACAACACTTCTGATGATGTCAACAGACAGCTTGCTGTTCTGAGGCAGACAAGGGGAAGAGCAAGCAGCTTCAGACTTGAATACAAGTAAGATTTTGCTATATTTAGGGAGGCAGGAGAGGGCCAGCAGGGCTAGATGGTGGTTTTAACACTATAGGGTCAGAAATATATGTTTGTGTTCCTGACCCTATAGTGTTCCTTTAATTAGCATGTTTGTTGAGATAGATGCTCCTTCTTTTGTCAATATATTATTAATTTATTATTATTTATTAAGTTAATCTAAAGACTCAGATATAATGGACGATAAGAGTCTAAACAGGCAAATTGAAATTGAAATTGGTGACCCCTTCTACCTTTCAGATTGTCTGTTGGCTATGTGTATGTCTTTTGTTCAAGTTTGAATCAAACTTGATAAAATGTTTGTTTGTTTTTCTCCACGGTGGAGCCGCTTGTGCCTAAGTCAGGGTTAGATGGATTCCACTACCATTACACGGACATACAGGACATTTGATTGTTGACTTTTATCACTATTTCCCCAACAGTGGTCCTGTAAATTGCAGATTCGGACTTCTGTGGAAGCACATTTTGTATTTTTTCTTCTTCTTAATTTATATTCTCCTGTTCGTATGTTCTGTA